CAGACTTGGCATCCATCCATCCTGCTTCAAGCTAGCTGAAGTGGTGCTCCTACGCAAGACGAACCGGGATCCAACAACAGTTAAGGGCTGGAGACAGATTGCCCTCTTGTCATGCTTGGGTAAGGGACTGGAACGACTCTTGTCGAAGCGGATGGCCCATCTTTTGGTTACGCTGGATGTTGTTGGATACCAACAATTTGGCGCGCTCCCTAAGAGATCGGCAAACGACCTTAAAAGCTGCGTAGTCCACGACATCGAAGAGGCAAGTACTCAGGGATGGGCGGCCACATTTACGACTCTGGATTTCCAAGGCGCGTTCGATGCAGTACTTCACAATCGTTTGGTGAGGAGGATGCAAGAGCAGGGGTGGCCGGACTCAATTCTCCGATGGACGACATCATTTCTTGCACAACGAAAGGTGCAAATACGATATCCTGGAGGGGTAACTGGGCAGAAAGAGCTGGTGTGTGGGGTCCCGCAGGGGTCGCCGATATCGCCACTTCTCTTCCTCTTGTACATGGCAGAGCCAATGCAAAGCGGCAATGCAGAAATGAGGTTCAGCTACGCTGACGACGTCGGGATACTAGGATTTGGGCGCAGCATAGCCGAGTCAGCCGCTTCTGTACAGAAGGAAGTGGACCATCTTCTGGAGTGGGCGAGCACCAACGCAGTCTCCTTTGATACCAACAAGTCGGAGGTAGTCCCGTTTCCCGGACGCAAACGCGAGGAGCCAGTGGGAATTTGTGTGAACGGCGTGGTTATCGAGCCAGCAGACCAAATACGCTGGCTAAGAGTACACCTAAACCCGCGGCTGGACTTCAAACATCACGTCACAACGTGGTGTGGCAAAGCTCTGAAGGTGGCCCAGCAAATGCGCCGTTTCAACTCAGTATATCGAGGAGCTGCTCCTGCAGCACTGGTTCGGGCAGTGGACACGTGCATTGTCTCCGTAGCAACCTTTGGAGCAGATGTTTGGTGGCCCGGCCTCAAACGTCCGACCAAAAGGGGAATCAACACACCTCGGACTAGCATTTTCTGCGAGATGATCGATAAGGCAATTCTAACGGGACTGCGTGCTGCCCTCCCGGTAATGAGAACGACACCGAATCTTGTTCTCCACCGCGAAGGAGGTATTCCAACAGGAAAGATCATTCTGGAAAGGAATCGACTACGGCTTTCGGCTCGGCTCCACTCACTAGACAACCGCCACCCGCTCCGGACCCGTGCTGCCGTGTGTCCAAGAGATGGAACACGGAAGTACAAGAAATATGCTCGGATCTATATAAATCCAGAGTTCCAGATGTCACGAGTCCAGCGGGCTTACTGAAAACTCCCGGATGCGGAAAATGCCGAGCCTTTACCGCCGCCATGCTATCTCTCGGGCTTCGGCTCAAGGATAGAAGAAGAAGAGAAAGCAACTCGGTTCATTAATAGTGTGCCGGTATCAGATATTTGCGCCTAACCGGATGGATCGTCGGAGGGTAATGGTCGCTCAGCATGGGGTTTCGTCTTGAAGAGGGATGGAAATACTCTGTTGAAGGGATACGGCATCAAGCATGGTGGTGAAGTGCTTGATGCGGAAATACTAGGGGCGAGGAAGGCCCTGGAAGCTGCGCTGGAATTGTCGGAGAGGGAGAACGGGGGAAGAGACGGCAGGCAGCAGATCAATGTACTGACAGATAGTCAGTCTGCAGTGAAAGCACTGCTGACGGGAATTGCCACAACAAGCCTCGACAACGTACGCCAAATTAGGGCGCTATCGAAAAAGGCTCTAGTCTCGGTGAAGTGGATACCGGCCCACTCCGGGATACAGGGAAACGAAGATGTAGATAGAGCTGCACGCTCCGGCCTCCAACAACTGCCGAGCAAAGACAGCCAGCCTGGCTCCGTCACAATGGCGTACGTTCGTTGGCTCATGAACCGGAAACGTCAAGCGCTTCTCGACGACTGGTGGGAAGAAATATGTCCACCTAGGTATCGAAATCTGGGTCTCCTCATGCGACGACGCAAGCCACGCGAGCAGACACTTTCCCGGCGGCTACTCCGTGAACTGATCTCAGCCCGTACGGGCCACGGAAACTTCGCGGCATGTCATCGCCGCTTCAACAACTTCGCCGCTTCAATGCAGTGTGCGTGTGGAGAGGAAACATCACCTCTCCACTTCATTCACTGTCGACTGCACGTACGCCAAACACGTCGACTACGAGGGACAATGTCACATCACGACTTTACCCACAAACTTCTCGGGCCTAAGTGCCTCGAACACTTTAAAAAATTTGCGCAGGAAACCGGCTGCTTCGGGGGCCCATCTGCGACACCTTCTCCAGCTCTCAGCGTAGATAGTAGTAACTAGATCATGCCACGAAGCATGACGGGCGGGAAAATGAGACGAGAAGTGTCATTTTCCAACCACAAACAGGAGTATGGGATTTGGAATTTTGGTTATGGGAGTTTGTGTGGGCATTTATTTTCTTTATTATATCTACCTACTTGTTGTGTAGTGAGTCACGCGGTAAGACCGAGTTGGGATGTGTCATAGCTAGATAGGCTGCATACACTTAATGATTTAAAAAAAAAAAAAAAAAAAAAAAGACCGAGTTGGGCATGTGGGAAGCACGATCTTGGCCGTGTGCACCGGTCCTTGAGGGGGACTATTCTCAACACCTGTCAGTGGTGTCCCCTACGAACCTCCAGCTCTCACTGTAGAGTCTGCAGAGCCGAGATTGAGTAACAAAGTCCTCACTTCGAAGAGGATTCCCAATCGCTTTCGCGGTCTGTATCGTCTTCATCTCTCAACACATTCCCCTATTACCACTATCATGAAGCTAACCACGATTAGATCAGATGGTAGGGTCGGAGCCCTACTCCTCACCCACCCTTGATCATGGAGGAAAAGCCATCCGATGAGTTTCCGGAGCGTACCCAGCACCCGATATGGAGATGGTGGATTGGATCAAGTCGACCTCGACTGTTACAAAGAAGGGAAATATAGATGAATATGCGCACCTCATGTGGTCCCGGTGTCTAGGCCTCGCCTGGCTGGGGCTGCAGGTTTTTTGAGACTTTTTCCCGCGCACGCAGTTTCCATTGCTACCATTTTTATTTTTTTTGGGTAGAAGGTTCCGTGGAAAAGGTGGCTGAATTCCACGGGTAAACACTGTGCTAAACGACTATTCATCACGGGTAATATATCAGTGATCTTTCATGAAACATGAGAGGCAAGGAGCACTGAACAAGTTTTGGCCTGGGTCAGAGAGGAGCCCAATGTGCTAGATAGTCATAGACTCAAGTAGTACAATTAACAAATACACATAAGGGAATAACCCTGTGACACATTTACCTGGAAACAATTAGCCAGAATACTTCACTTAGATAGTTATTGTATCGAAAATTTACCTGAATCTATAGTCCTCACGCTTTTAGCTAAGTTAGTGTCAAGACATCGTCGATAATTTTGATTCGTCTAGCAAGCTATTAAAAAGCCCAGGGCTTAATTGGGGCCAAGGTGAATACCGCAACGGTTCGACTCAAAGTTTACGACGGGAACAGATAAAAGATAGCTCGAGAAATTTTCACCTTCGCAAACTAATGAGGGTGTTTTAAAGAGGAACAGAAACATGTTGAAATACTATCTAGTTTATGACCTGAATAATTTGGTTGCAAAATGTGATGCCCCGATATTTTTAGTGGCCAGTAGGTCGTTGGTCCAATCGTCGATAAGGTGATATAGGGTCACTACAGGAATCCCAATTACTAGTTTCGAACACACACGAGTTTTGTGTGGGGCAAACCTTGTTACGAAAGGTTCGTCGTGGATATTGGTTTTCATGCGAAACCCTTAGGTTGTAGATGATGATGGACAGGAAGTTTCGTGTTGGCAGCTTTATTTGAACAGTTGAGCTCCTACGTACATATATACAGATTTATATCTTTCTAGATACTTTTCTCTTTAGTTTAGAACCTTATAATTGCAGTCCACGCCAGCTTTTGACCATTCGCTAGTTATATTCTGACCCTCGAGTTTCCACACCTAAGGTAACTTTTAGACAAATGAACTAATAGATTGAGAGTTTTATATGGCTATTACGATAATGTTATTCTTCTATATACTCGATGGAGTTAATGCTTACCAGGAGGGGCTCGAGGTGTATAAATCAGGAATTAATTAAATTCTAAACAGTGATCTTTGAATCATGTCTAGATTTTTGATGAATGTCTACTCAAATCGTATAGATAATTCTTACGCGCAAATTAATTTAATTTAAATTAGCACATTTCAATTATAGATATGAAGTCAGTTCCCCTAAAAAAATCATCAATAGCATATGTTGGAGACTTACTGGGATTAGAAAAAAAAATTGTTCAACGTGATGTAGGTGATTCGCATAAATGATTTACAGTCTGGCGACAAGCCTGAACAGTCTATCGTGATATTACTCATACTCAAACATATTTTGTCATAATAATTTTGAAAAAAATCAAGGCGTAAATTGGTTTTGATACCGAAGACTTTACAAGATGGGCATGCAAGATATCGATGAGCTTTTTTAAAAAAACGTACGTTGATGAAAGATAAACTTTAATACAAAATTTTGATATAATTTCTATGTCTCATTCCTTTTATTGTGTGAAGCTCGCGATCAAGGATGTTTAGGTCCTAAGACTGCAAGTCTATACATCAATTAAAATTAACTAGTTAGTACAGACATAATCCGGTTGTAAAAATATTAGGAGTTAGTTACATATTCTGTATTGATGCTGTCCAAGGCTATCATAGGCTTACCTTTAGTTGAACGAATCTGCTGTAGTTGTCCTACTTCTTGACATAATTTTGGAAATTTGTTCAATGACAGAACCACTGGTAGATGTAGCTTTTCATAAGGACTGTTTCTAAAGCGAGGCTTTTGCACGCTGGGTGCTTTTCAGAGCATCTTTATAAATGATGGCCTTCCATGGAAACTTTTTTTCCGATTATGATTTTAGTGGGGCCGTCAAATATCTTATCTTTTTGGAATTTGAGTAGAGCTTGTGCCTTCCGTTTCAATCCCGTTTATCTTTCTACGCTTTTTCCTTTTCCGCAAGACGACGGCTGGCTTGGCGCCATAGTCTCCTAATGTAAGGTGTGTTGAACAAGTCAGACAGATGTTTCCTTCAGGAGGACAGCAAAAGACTATTGTCAACCGTTGGTTGTAAATCTTGTGAAAAAGTATGAAGAGACTTACTACTGAGGCAAATACTGCACACAAAACCCACATCAACCACCTTTCTATGACAGAAGCAGGCAGCTCTAAAGTCAACTTTTTCCTGCGTCGGGGCCACTAAATGTTTCCGGCTTGATTGATCTGGAAGAAATGCCATCATCAAATACTGTAAAAGTCCTTGTGGGCTTCGTAGATGAATGTATATACCTTTGGTGGCGTCTGAGGCCTGTTGTAAAAATATGGTATCACCAGCTAGTTTACAAATATCAATTGGAACCTTAAGTCGCTGGGCGGCAAACGTCGTATTCATAATTGGAATGTATTGATGTGCCAGGTCTCCTGAAACAGAAATAATTAAAATGCGACTTTGTAGTCCAGATAATCGATCACTTGTTTCGCCACTGCTAAGTGCAGGTTCTGTGTCTGATTTGCCAAAATAATTTGTTGAAGCTTTATTGATGTAGGATAACGCAAGTGTCAGAGCACCTGCCATCTGGGTGGTTATTGTTGTGATAACATCCGTTTCCGTGGTAGTAGCGATGAGTTCACGGAGAGAAGACAGAAGGCTAGCTTCAATGAGTGCAAAAGGACGATATTTCTTCGAATTCTCGTGGACAAGCTCAGGTACATCGGGCATATCAATATCTTCAGATTTTGATTGTGGTCGAGGGTATAGCCAAACTGCGCGATGACAATGACTAGAAACTACTGCCACTTGATTCGCATTATTGAAGGCCAAGTGTGCGTTAATAAAGACAAGGATATTGGCCACTGCTTTTGGAAGAGATAAAGTCGAAGCTAACAATGCCCAGGCATGCGGATTTGTATCCAAAACAATTACAAGGAGCGAGGGCAATGGACCTGTTTAAATCAATATGTAATGTTAAAATACGAGCTTCAAATAAAACCTTCGGCTGTGGCTTCATAATGATCTGATCCATCAACTGCATTCATGTTGGAGTGAATATGCGCTCATATCAATGTCTCATAATGAAAAATTAAGGGATCATCTGAGGGCACTCTCCATCTGATGGTGTTTTAAAGTGCTGTGGAAAGCTGTAGGAGATTTAAAGTCAATTGCATAGTGATGCACGGGTCAACGTAACTAGTTCGGTGCTATACTAGATGATTGAAGCGGCTAGTTTTCTGCTTGCTAGTGCCGAGGACTTATTCGTGTGTTACCTAATTTAAAAATCACAGCGATTGCGCACTTGCGTGCAAACAAGTAGCCCACTAATACACGGTATACAACCATTATACATTCTTCATTGCGCATTCGAGTAAGTCAGATTTCGACTCCTCAACAAAATCGTCTCTTCCTAACCACATTTCTTGAATTCATAGCTACGAAAGCATCTGAATTACATCAGTAACTCCTCAACCCCAGTTCTACAACGACTTTTGGATGCTCGGCTAAGCTACTTCAAGGCATTTAATCAATACCAACACCATTCTGCTGTCATCTCCGACCTTCTATTTATTCCAAGACCAAATCCGGGGAGAAGGGAGTGCCTATGAACAGGAGGCGAAGCTCCAACGTGTAAACTGTTGTACCGCACCAGGCTGGAGAGGGGATGTAATAACAGGATGAAAAATCCATTCAGTTTCTAGACGAATAAAGATTTATGGAGTTATCACGGCTAGAAAGTAGGCGTAAAGGAGGCTTAGGAAAGATTAAAATATCAGAGACGTAAATGCTCTAGTACTACAGGAAAAAAGGACCTACATGTCTATAAATATTCGTAGACTCATTTAGATATCAAACATGAGACAAGGATTCGAACTCGAAGTAAATAAAGGTGTCTAAAAGTAGTTCAATCTGCTCTGCACTAAGCGTAGTGCATCTCTCAGTTGCTGAATCATTGTTTTGATGACTCAGCCAATACCACGAACTTCACGTTCGCAAAGTTGTTAGAGAGAAGATATGAACAAGAATACATACCTCACTTTCGTACCTTTCACTTTGCATTGAAATAGCCTTACGTATACGTAAATAAAGGCTAATCGTTAACAGGAGTTTTATTTTCACTTCCATTGCCTATGAACATTTGGTCAATTTGATACAGGAGTATTAGTTTGGCAGTTTCTAGTTTGAAGGTAATATTTAAATTAGATATCGAATAACAAATAATTGATAACTACAAGCAAAAAGTTTAGCAATGACAACCAAAATGCAGGTAAATATATTCAGTTGCGCCAAGAGAGATTTGATAGTCTTGTGCAGTGGCGAGAAAACTTTGAGATAGAAAAGCACTAATTTAAAGCGATATAATAATGAATTGATGGTGAGCTTATCGCTCAGCTGGCCGACCTCTTCGAACGCTCCAGAAGGGTCAGCATGATGGCATAAGAATTGCTCCGCACTCAATGGTTTTTGCAATTTTATCCGACTGCCATACACCCGCAATGTCCATCGTTTCGTTGGATGGAGAGGGGAGATAATGAAGGGCAAAGGAATTTTCCTACTCAAGGATTTCATGAGGATTTCTAAGGGGTGGTACTATTTGAGGGGAGCTGTATGGCTGGCATAGGAGGGGATATACTACTGGCATAAGTATCCTTGGCCTGAAAGTAGAGAGGAGCAGCATGTCATACATAGTCATATGCTTAGACAGGACAAAAAAATGATATAACAAGAAAAATGGTGAGATTGTAGCCTGGAGCCAAGGAGATTATTGGGGAGAAGGGATGGCAAAATTTTTCCAATTCCTTACTACAAGCAGATGTTACAATCTACCGAAGAATGAACAGGGTGGGAGGTGACCAGGCTGAGACGGATTCCAACACGGGAGGAGATGTGCTTGGAAGATAGGGATGCGGCGCAAGGCACTGTAAATCAGATATTTATTGTTCCTTTTTATTTATTTTATTGCTTCTGGCTTCAATGTCGGTCATGTAGGTAGCAATGAGCACTCAGAACTCGTCTAACTGTGTCACATCCAAATAAATATTAAGTCCGTCCTGTCACGTTAGATATTTCAAATTCAAATTCAAATGGTGAGCTTTAGAAAAAGATCGTCGAAATGTTGAATTGATTGTAAAAAACTAGCATTATGTTGACTGGGAGCAAAAAGGTTGGTGAGACTTGTGATACGACGTACCCTAGCTCGCGTGCAATGAGAATGCGCCACGTCACGTTTGAGAGGTAGCTGCTGAGTGAAGACTCTCTGACTATTACTCTCACTTCTGAGGACCCCATCTCTGCAGTGGTTACCCAACTGCGGATAGTGTCAACGCAACGTTCGTTCCTCACACGCGAACCATGCTATCAAGCGCGGGTTTGCCATGTCTCAGTGTCTCATCTTCCTTACCAGTTAGCCATTACAGCTGACACCCTCAAACTATTACTACTTGTATACTCATATTTGATCAATTGATAAATACTCAGATCTCTTCTCAACATCACCCACTCTAACGGTCAGGGATTAATGCAAAATCAAATCAATTATTTCAGCATCCTATTTGACTAGTTATCTTCACCGTTCATCTAATCTGACGTTTATGTATGAGTGAACCATTCCTCGCTTACATAAGTAAGGTTAATCTCACTCCCATTTGGATACTACTTTCACCATCTATTTCAAGTTTAAATTAGGCCATTACCTTCAATATCTATTGGAAAATATCGAAGATTTTAATTAATACATCACCAGCAATTTTTAAAGCTTCTAGATAGCTCTAGATGTCCTTCGTATTCCATATACTAAACAGATAATAAAATGAAATCAGATCTAGTTGTCAAGCATATCGCCCGATAAGACGGTTGTCGCCTATAAGCTATGCTATGAAACGTTTATTTTTCATTGATGTCCTATTTGAGGTTACAACTATGTAGGAGAGACTATTTATATACAACTTTTCTTTTTCATAGTTATGAAACCTTAATATATAGCGGAAAACTAAGTGGAACTCATTCTCGGTCCCAACGGCTTGCTGGTGGAAACTACGACCATTATAAACTCTTCAAGAATTGACTACAGGAATGAGGCTCGACGAATACAGAAGTAAAACTGTGTCATGTGGGGATATTAATTGTGTATAAAGCCCCTTCATTCTCCGACTCCCTCTCATCGGTCTTTTGGCTTTGAACTTAGGTCTGTGAGCTGTGAGCTGTGAGCTGTGGGAAACCCCATCAGAGTCTTTTGAATTTCATGAGATTCTTGCCCATGGGTTATTGTTTTAAAAATGTCTTAGCTATCTCGAGTATTTACTGTATGGATTGTGCTGTTCAAAAGAATAGAAGGAATGATATTATGTAGCAATCAGAGCCCTTGTTGTTAAAAGGCCTCAAGGTAGCTTGAACCTTGATTGATTGTTGACGTTTAACGCTGAGAAGACACACGGATAAAGCCCGGCCTCGGAGCCCTTTAAAAAACCGTTTGGTCAGGAGGATAAAGACTGAACACCTAAAGCCGGTGTACTCAACTAACCTGGGTATGAAATATTCTCCTAGAGTCAAGTTCAGTGAAGTTTCGCAATACTGAACAAGCTAGCCCGCGTGGCAACGATTTAAGAGAGAAAGATTTCTATTTATTGTACTACCTGAGTCACAGATTATCTAGCACATTGGGCTCCTTTCTGACACAGGCCCTATCTTGTACAGTGCTCCTATCTTATTTTGTTGAAACATATTGATAAATCGTCCGTGATGGATAGACGTCTAGCTCAAAAATACACGTAGAATTCAGCCACCTCTCCATGGAACCGTTTAACCCAAAAAAATAAAAATTGTAGCCATGGAAATTGCGTACGCGGAAAGAAGTCTCCAAAATCTTGCAGCATCAGTCGGGCAAGACCTAAATAATTTTCATAGCTATATAGCTGATAAAATATGAATCAAAAAAAAAGAGGCCTAGACACTGAGACCACATGAGGTGCGCATATTGATCTACACCTCCCTTTTTGTAACAGTCGAGGCCGACTTGATCCATTCCACCATCTCCGTATCTCTCAGGGATGAGGGTTTGATAGTGTTCCACGGGGTGCGTTGTATAGCCTAGTAAAGATCTAGGTGGTAAGTGAAGGTTGTAAATGGGTCAAAGGAATGACAGGTCTTCTCTAGGAAGAGATGAATGGGCAACTAGTTGCAGTAGGTGTTACACGTGGGTCTTGCTGATGAAGAACTGGGCAATGGATATATGGTCTTCCCGAAGAAGAGATGGGTGAACAAATGTATTGTAAAGGGTAAATAAAGAAGACGTTGCGTGAGGAGTAAATCTCTCTCACGCCGAACTATTATATACAAGAGTAGAAGCCTTTGCCAACCGGAATTAATTGTAATCAATTCTTGCCAATATCTTTGCATTAATGGCTGTGTTCTTGTCCTTCTCTTCATGACTCTCTTGCATATCCTTACATGACTTTTTACATGACTAATTGTATAGAGGAAGCTATTATTAAATCGATGGTTTTAATTAACTACCCCTTCATCTTATCACGAATTAATTTTAGTATTAAAATTCTATTTACGGATCCGTGAAAGTATCTGGTGAAAGGTACGATCAACAAACTCGCCAGATGTCTTCTCTTCCATGATCAAAGGTTGGTGACTAGAAGGGCTGCGTCCTTAAAATCAGATTTAATCGTGGCTAGCTTCGTGATAATGGTGATAGGGGATTTTCCTTAGAGATGAAGATGATACAGATCGCGAAAGCAATGAGGAATCCTCATCGAAGTGAAGACGGTTTAGCTCATTCATGTATCTGAAGACCTTACTTTCAGAGCTAGCAGTTCGTAGGAGACACTGTTGACAGTTGTTGAGATTTTGTGGCTCGCTTAGACTGTAGATTCTCAGAACCTCTCTTCTTGTAAGTGTGATAGAACCTAGCTTGCTGAGATGAAATTCGATATATTGAACTAAGTAAAGAAGAAATGAAACTACTGATACCAAGAAGGTTACTTATAATCCTTCCTAACTTATCCCTTCCTTAACTATTTGATAGTCCTTCAAACAG